GGTGAGCAGGTGCCAGGGTGGGAGGGTCCTGGGCACTGATGGGGACCAGGACCCCCCACCCCAACTCTGAGTCTCCCCCAGAACACGCTGGTCATCGAGCTCCTGTGGCCTCTTTTTTTCTTCCTCATCCTGGTCTGGATGCAGTGGTCCCACAAGCCTTTCAAGCAGCATGAGTGTGAGTGTTCTGTGCTCTGCAGCAGCCCCCCCCAGCCTGCTGGGGACCACCCTTCAGTGGGAGCCCTGTGGTGCCCTGGCATGGCCCTGGGTGACACCAGGGAAGACAAACCTGGCAGGTGGATGTGAGCTGGGGTCTCAGTGGCATCTCCCCACTGCGCTGTGTACAGGACCCTGGGGGTTCTGTGCTTCCCCCCTCCCCAACCTGTCCCTCCCTCAGGCCACTTTCCCAACAAGGCCCTGCCCTCGGCCGGGACCCTGCCCTGGCTCCAGGGCATCATCTGCAACATGAGGAACCCCTGCTTCCTGCACCCCACGGTGGGAGAGACCCCCGGCCTGGTGGACAATTTCGACGGCTCCATGTGAGTGGCAGGGCTGGGGGGCTGGGGGCAGAAGTGGGGCAGTGGGGCTGGGGTCTCACTGCCCACCCTGTGCCCCTGCAGCCTCTCCCGGCTGCTGGACCAAGCCCATCAAGTCCTGCACCGCAAAGATGGGCAGCAGCTCCTGCTCAGCTTCTCCCGCCTCAAGCCCATGCTGCGGGAGCTCTGGAGTAACGGGGGGAAGAATCAGAAATGTGAGCACAGGGACTGGGGGTGCCGGGGCAGTGAGACCCTCTGGCTGACCCCTGCTCTCTCAGCGCCGTTGAGAACCCACGTCAAAGGCAGCGAGCGCTTCATTCGGGCCACCCTTGCTCTACCAGCAGCACTGGTGAAAGAGCTGCTGAACGCTTCGGTCAGCCTCGGCTTCGTGAGTGTCCGTGGTGCTCGCTCCGGTGCCCGGTGTGCCGGGGCCTCCCGGTGTCTGGCGCGCCGGGGGCTGCGGTGTGACCGGCCCCTCTCCCCGCAGCTCCACCAGAAGGGGCCCGCGCTGAAGGCCTCGCTCTGCAACTCCTCGGAGCCGGGGCTCCTCCTGCCCCCGGGCGGGCGGCTGCAGCAGCAGCTCTGCAGGCGGCCCCCGTCCCACCTCACCGCCCTGGTGGAGGCCCTCTTGCCCATCATTGACGTTCCCAGTCTCCTGGCGGTGAGCCCCAGCCAAGCCGGGTGCTGGCACCCACTGAGTCCTGGGAAGCACCAGGGCAGAGACACTTGGTCCCCTTGTAGGGGCTGTGACCTCCTTCTTGTGCCCCCCATATAGGACCAGCTGAACTCGGACAATGTCTCGAGACACTTGGCCACCTTCCTGGATGGTGCAGCATCCCTGTTGCAGGAGGTAGCACCCCATTCCCCTCCCCTCACACAAATGCCTCCCTGCACACCCCCTGCACCCCAGTGGTGCCCCCCGTGGTGTCCCCTCCATGTCCTGGCCCCACTGCTTGTCCCACTCTCCCCAGATGTCCTCTGTGTCCAGACAAGCCAAGCTGCAGCTCAGGGCACTGGGGGCCCCCAGTACCAGGACCTTTCAGGCTCTGTTGCATATGATCTGTGGGCATCCCAAGGATGGGGGACTCCATGTCCCCTCACTCCACTGGTACGAGGTCAGTGACTTCAAAGACTTCCTGGAACGCCAAAGCAAGAAGCAGAAACCCAGACACACACACAGCAGCAGCAGTGAGTTGGCTGCAGAGGGGCTTGGCCAGGGCACAGCCCCCTGGGGTGGAAGGGGCCAGTGGTGGGGGGCTGGTGGTCAGGGCTCATCTCTGTGCCCACCCAGGCCCTTTCTGCGAAGAGATGTTCCACAACCTGGTGTCCAGCTCAGATGTGAAGATTTTATGGCAGGGGGTCAAGCCCCTCTTTATGGGGAAGATCCTGTACACCCCACCTCGCCCCGGCCCCAGGAGCATCATGGCTGAGGTGAGTGAGGGGCTAGGGGGGGGTCAGGGGGGCTCAGCCCAGCCCTGCCTCACCTCCCACCCCACACAGATGAACCAGACCTTCCAGGAGCTGGCAGTGCTGGGAGAGTTGGGGCACGCCTGGCAGGAGCTGGGACCCCGCATCTACACCTTCTTCAACAGCAGCCAAGAGCTACAGGTCCTGCGGGTGCGTGGCCCCCAGACCCTCTCCCCAGTGGGGTCAGGCTGTGCTGGGGGGACACGGTGGGGTTGCCACGGGATGTGAGATGGGGGTGCAAGGTGTCATGGGATGTGGGATGGGGGTGCAGTGGGGTACAGCCAGAGCGGGGTGGGCTGCGTTGCCCCCCAGTACCCTGGTGCTTTGCAGAACCTGCTGGTAGCCCCACGCATGCCACAGCTCCTCTCC